GTTTTAAACAGCGAGAGAAGAGACACAGCAGCCCGGCTGCGAGCGTTTAAATCTCCCGGTGTTCAGCCGGTTCAGCCCAATCCACTCAGAGCGGCGGGGCCCTATTAAGGGGGGCCTAACGGGTTGGAATCAACGACAGTGCTAACGGGCCACAGTGCCCTGCTGGTGCTGTTTGCTGCGTACCGTCCAGAACCCCCTGGCAGTGGGGAGAGCCCTCCCTGCTCTGCAGAAGAAACACTGGTCTGAGTCTGACTTTTTATTTTTTGCCACAACAAAGACACACAAAACCCACTATTCAAAATATTCAACTAAACAAAAATGCATGTTCAGTCAGGCAGACTGAGCCCTGGGTCTAAATGTTTCTCCTCACACCAGGAGGATAATTCTGTTGGATAAATACAAAATCCCTTTCTTTAGTCACATTAAAGATGCAAAGAATACCAGAATAACCCTTAAAAGAACACAAATGGTGTACTCCTTCTTGGCCCATTAAAATTACAATTACAATTGTAAAACACCATTCTGGTCTCCAGTGAAACCTTACATTATCTTACAGCTGCCAGCTTATTATTATGGCCTCTAGTTTAAAAAAAACCTTTACTGGGTGTAAATTTCACCATTATTTAGATTTTAAAGCAGAATTGGTGAAGTTCAAGTTCTGCCTTCCGGCTGTGAAGTTGGTCAATAGGCCTCAGCATGAATTTGCGTTTTTCTTCAAACCACACTGAGCAGAGGACACATTTTACTGCTTAAAATCTTTCCATTTTCCTTTGTAAGGTCACATTAATCTCTTGTCTCATATAATTAAAGTAATCTTTAAAAAAAAGTATTCAAGTTATGTTACTTTAATATTGTGAGACTCGGATAAGGTTACTGTCTACATTTTAAACAGATGATTAGTAACTGTATTGGATTACATTACATTTTTAAAGTAACCCTACCAACACTGTCACCGGGGCAACCACGGACCTGTTACTGTTATCATACTGATAGAAATGATGCCCCAAACACTGAAAATAAGACCCAAGTTGTAATAAACCTGGAAAAAATCCTTAATACATACAATATGTAATTGCTGTCACTAGTGAGTCTCTCAGATCAAAACAATAACAAAAGTGTGATGACGTGGTGAAGTAGTGTGGGATCATGGGAGTTGTTGTCTTTACCACCATTGCCATCACTGCAGTCAGCTTTCTGATTGAAGATTCCTTCAGTGTTCATGGTTCAGGAGGTTTCTACCGGGAGCCCAGTTATCCACAGAGGTCTCCTCCTCTCCAGAACAAACAGATTAAAAGTGGTAAAAACCCGAATTTTAAGTGACACCGACTTATTTTGAAATACGAGTTCGGTCTAGACCTGCTCTATTTGAAAAGTGTCCTGAGATAACTTCTGTTATGATTTGCTGCTATACAAATAAAATTGAATTGAATTGAATTGAAATTTTTATTTGTACAGTGAAAAAAAAAGTACTTAATCAGGAATGTTTTTTACTTACAAAATTGAGTTATTTAAAATGTTGTAAAATGGATGATCCATCCAATCCATTTCAACAATATGTGTTGATGCCATTGACAGGCGAGCGGTGAAACATTTGGGATAATGTAAGTGCACAACTCAACTACATAAAAAACATAGAGCTAGTCTTTATAGACATTTTAATGCGGAAATGTTCCATATTAGAGCTTTAAGGACATACAGCCAGAAAGTTGTGCTGGGTTTCATTTTGTCCTCAACATTTTCCAGAGGAGGAAATCTCCCTGCGCCTGCCATAGCTGAGAGGGAAGAACACACACTAATGAATATTCAAATATCGTCAACTGAAAAACTCAAAATCAGCGGAGAACGCTTGTGTGTGTACAAACCCTCTGAAATCCTGTCTCACACTGATGGTGTCATACAGACAGTGTATGATAAAGGTAACATTAATCCAGATTAATCCAACAATCATTAGTTATACACTTCCATGCAGGACTCGACTGTGTATCAAGGGCAAAAAGGATTAGCAGCAATTTGCATAATAAACAGGCCAAACAAACAAACAAAAGCAGAAAAAGCAGAGGTAAATAAACCTTGAAGTGAGTCCTTGTCTGCTTCTGTCCATTTTTATGTACACAGTTTATTAATCAATATTTGCTGGCCGTAATTACAGCTGTTTTGCTTGTTGGGAGGTAATGGAGATTAATTAGTGACCTGCAACAAATGCTGTATGTATAAAGGGATAATGAGCTCCGCTTTATGCTTTCATTTTTAAGTGATATGCCAAGTCATCCAAGAAAGTGGGAAATTAACTTTAGACTTTTTAATTGTGTTTTTTTGTTTATCTTTGTTTGTTATTTAAGACCCCCCGACGGCTCCATCTTTACGGTGAAAAGTCTCTCAAGCAGCAGAGCCATAATGAATCAGGTCCTGTCGTGTCAGCGGACAGTCTCAGTGGGACTGTCCCCTACTTCAGTGACCTTCTAGAGATTAAAAGCCCCATTTAATGTCTCGCCATCAAATAGTATATTTGGCTCCAACATTAAAGACACTGTCACAAATTAGGAGCTGAATGGAAAAACGAACATACTTTAACTGTTTCATTATGATCATATATTTGTGTCTTACTGTCTTTGTCATTCTGTTGTGTTTCAACCTCCTTTGTTGGTGTGCTCCGTACATACGACACCCATCGCACATTCTTTAGTCCTGAAAGAGGGATCCCTCCTCTATTTTCTTCCTGTTTTGTTTTTTACAAACGCAAATAATGATAACGTTTTTTTGCTTTGGCTTTTGTTGTTGTATTCTCCTTTTTTCTGTTGTGATTTGCACTTCAAGGCCACCGTACTAAAGCCCTCAGATCTTTAGGGTTTGTGATTACGGGCTATATAACTAAAATTCACTTGATTTGACTTTTTCTCCATGTTTTTGGTGCTGGAATAAATAATAAGAGACATATTTTGTGAGGCTGATCAAGTCCAAACTAGTAATACAATTACTCAAGTACTATAATTATCTTGAGGTACTAGTTACTTACTTCATACTTCTACTGCACAACAATCCAGAGTAAAATGTTTTTACTACATTTATCTCACTACTTTGGAGGGGCTCGACCCCTAGGGTATTAATGTACCTGTATCATCAGTCTATAAGAATACATTTTGCTGCATGTCGGGCTACTTAAATTATATTCTGCTGATAATACTTCTGGAGTTTTTCTAGGAATTGGAATAAGACACTTTTTACTTGTAATTGAGTATTTTTATTGTATTTTAATGTATTGGTGCTTTTATTTAAGGATCTGAATATTTCTCCACCACAATCAAGATGATGTCCACATCCACTGAGAATGGACTTTACAGTGAAGTAGGAGACATCTTGTGTCCAGCAGGAAAATTTTAGAAATCAACAACATTTGCATATTCACAGATTTGGGAATTTTTAATGAGGTAGAAGGAGGAGATGATGTTTTAAGGATTTTAATTTGCACTCTAAAAACTAATGAAATTTTTACGATTAGCCTAATTAAATAAAAAAGTTGTGTTTATGCTACCAATTATTAAGTAAGTGGTAATTAAAAATACCTTTGCTTGTAAAGAAAAAGCTACTTCCCTTAACTCAATGTAGAACATTTGTTGAACATGGTTCACTGTAAAACGAGATAGGTTTATTTAACTCAAAACATTGTAGAAACTGATTACATCAAAGATTTTAAATAAAAGTAACAACATTTTGTAAGTTAAAAAGCATTCTTGATTAAGGAGCTTTAGTAATTTGAAGTGGTAAAAACACGAATTTTAAGTGACACTAACTTCATTTTGTAATTGTTATTTGTACTGCAAAAAAACAAAATACTAAAGTACTTAATCAGGAATGTTTGTAACTTACAAAACTAAGTTGGCGTCATTTAAAATTATTAGTAAAAGCTGCTTCATCATTAACAATTTAAAATTAAAAAATGGAGTTTGTGAAATTTTATAATTTGTTTTAACAATTTTAAAAAGTTAAAATAACTTATTGCATTACAGTGTCGAAGTCACATAACTCAAAAAGATTCATGCAAATTGTTTTTAAGAGTGTGGTATTTGGGGGGATATATCATCACACACATTTTTGTTCCTAGCAGACTATTTTTTGTATATACACAGGCTACCTTATTACATGTCTGAAGGGGATCTTTAAAATAAAAAGCTTTGTGCATGGGGAGACCCTCACAGACAGCTGCCTAGTTTGCCTCTGTGACAGGTTGGCCCTTGCCAAAAGCCCCCCACCTCCTTCTCCTGGCCACCAACATTGCTGGGCCACTCTACATAGTTTATCTCCCAGGATGAGAGTGAGTCTAAACTCTGTATTTAGTAACAGCCACACAGGAGTTTTCTGGCTGATTAGACCTCTGCTCAGCACTGTGTGGGTTCATACTGTATTTGACTGACATCTTTCTGAAATGACACCTTTATCACTCTCATTGGTAACCTAACAAATTCCCATCTGGCCCACCTTCAGCCCGGGCAGAGGTCTAATCAGCCAGATAACTGGAAACACTTGTGTGTGAGTTCTGCAACATAAAGCTTGTCACATAAGAAACAGAAAATGTTGCTCCAGGTGGGTGGAAATGTGTGTTTGGATGACAAATATAAGTAGGAAAATGAACTTTACACACTGTTTTTCAGACGATCTGTTTCAACCTCCCAGAATCCTCTTTGTCTTGAAGTTTTAGGTGTGTGTGTGTGTGTGTGTGTGTGTGTTTGTGTGGAGGCAGCAACTGCAATGAGCATCTCTCGCCCTTTTCCTGAAGAAAACCAAAAATATCTAAACCCAGTTGTGACAACATTTCCTCGGCCGTGCATCCCCCGCCCTCCCCCCTCCAACCCATCCACCTCCGCGCGCCCATTGGCCCTCCCTTCTCATGACGCTCCCTTCCGCGCGTCACGATTGGACCATCCCTCCGCCCGTCCGTTTGACTGACACCCCGGCAGCCACAGTCTCCTCCCAGCGGCAGCAGACGCTATTTGAGTGGGGACCAGCGGATTGTTGTACATAGAGCCGGTTTAGTGTCGTCAATGGGAAGCACGCGAGACGGTGGCAAAGCGAGTTACGGTCTACATTGAAAACCCGCGGCTGCACCATGCTCTCCAGGTCCATCCCGTATCTGTGGATTACAGTTTGCCTTCATGTATTCTGTCACGTAGACAGCGGGGAAGCGCAGAATGCGAAGGAAGGTAAGTTCTTAAAGTTTGGACTCCTCCATCCCGTCGCATTTGGAAGACATCCTCCAGAATTAACGGTGTCTGGATGTCCAAATCCAGCAGACCGCTCCCCCCCCACCCCCCTCCCCGATTTTCTCTTTAAACCCTATTCGATTTCTTCTTTTTATTAACTCAAAATGTGGATGTTTAATATCCAACCCAGTGCCGTCGGATGAGGCCGGTGTGCGGGGATGACAGCGCCGTCTGCTCCCGGGCTGTTTGCGAGCGACCTCTCGGTGTTTTTACGCACGGCAGTTAAACGCCGTGGAACGCGGACTACACGCAGGAGCTCTTGTTGTTGTTGTTTTTTTGTTGTTTTTTTTAACTCTAACTAGCCTGCTCGTTAAAGATTAACAATGTGTCACGACTAACTAGGTAACAGCAGCGGATCGATCGCCCGGCAGGCTCGCCTCGCTGGAAGTGAGTGAGCCGTATGTGTGGACGCAGTTTCGGGAGGGTTTTATTTCCTCCAAAGTGGCCTCGGCTCTCCCCGTCCTGTCTAGTCTTGTTCCTTGGAAGAGAAATACAGCAGATTGACGCGGAGCCGTTATCTGACTCAGACCCTCAAGTTAGCCAGAAGCAAGGCTGTAAAACAGCAAAATAAGAGCGGGTTTAAATAAACTCCAAATGGATGAAAATTGGCACTTTAAATTGATCAGATTCTGTTTCAATTAATGCTATTATGTTCTGCATAAAAACAGATAAATCTCAGGGCAGGTATTGATTTTCTCAGCACAGAAACTACAGTGTAATAATAACGGAGCGCGGTGTGCATGCAGTAGCTCATGCATTGTATTTCCTCGCTGTTTATGTGCGGGATTTCGCAGACCTCCATATCAGACAGTCTCCTGTAAAATATCACCGGAGCATATTTTTTTTACGGCGGTGCGTCCTGGCTGTTGCCCCCCTCCCATGTTGGAGCTGTCTGCTAGTATTAAATACAATTAAAACAACTTCATTTTCATGGAAGCCGCCGCGCTCGGTGCCGCGTTGCGCTCCCGCTCGCGTCCAGAACATAAAACAGGCTGATTTTCTCGGATTAGAACTGTTGGATGTAGTTTCGGGGCCGTTCTGAGCTGCAAATATCCCCGAGTTTAAACGCATACATGTACTGTAGGCGGTGTGCGTCGGGATGGAAGCCGCTGATTTGACCTTAACGCAACAACTTCCACTCCAGAAATTAGTTTTAATAAACTGGTGCGTAAAATCCATATTTAACAGAATAAATGATTAAATCTTATGCGTAATGATTCCCGACACATTATAATATGCGTTTCTGCTTCCACACTCTTTATTTCTTCTGTATGCACGCTGTCACTGTCTTCATTTGTCTCCCAGGAAGTCCCCTCCACAGGAGGACCTGTCTGCTGCAGTGTACATATATTCTTATTTTTGCTTTAGTGCTGCTGCTGCTGCTAGAAATTAGGTCACGGTTTATATGCGCTATAGATATCGATGTGTGGCCTATCAGTAATACCCAGCCCCGGTGCCCCGGTGAGATTTAACCACCTGCTTCTCGGTTCTCCTGTCACTAGTGATTCTGCTGGACTCCAAGGCACAGCAGACAGAACTGGAGTGGATCTCCTATCCTCCCAATGGGGTAAGTCTGCAGAATCTCTGCATCGCTGGCACACAGGATGTACTCCACATCTATACATATTTTCCCCCCCTGCTTCCTATGATGTCCCACATCTGTGATAGGAATATTGATATTTAAGGGAGGCATGAAACATACATCATACAAGGATCAGCTCGCAAAAGACTTCCTAGAATAAAAAGATAAAGAATGCAAGAGGTCGTTTCTGCTGCTAAACTCTGCCGGCTTTTGGCATTCAGAGCACAGAGGCCTTAAGCAAACCACTTCCAACTTGCTACTCTGATTAAAAGCCGGCTGTGAGAAACTTTTTAAATAAATAATGTGAGCCGAAGCAGATAAACTGAGTGCAATCATTCTTTAAAGATGTGTTTGTGCGATAAAACAATGCAACTGCTAATCCCCCTTCATTCACTGCAGTTTATTGTAAAGACAACTGCCTGAAATGATGATATTTCATACACCTTTCTCATATTCATTACAGTGGAATCCCCTCCAGCTTGATTGCCAATCATTAGATGTCTGTTTCACATCTAAATTCAACATGGCGATGATGTGTAATGGATGTGTTCATTCACAAATGTATGTCTTCTTCTTTCAGTGGGAAGAGATCAGCGGCTTGGACGAGAACTACACTCCCATTCGCACGTACCAGGTTTGCCAAGTCATGGAGCCCAATCAGAATAACTGGCTTCGGACTAACTGGATAGAGAAGGGCAATGCCCAGAGAATTTTTGTGGAACTGAAGTTCACCTTGAGGGATTGTAACAGCCTACCTGGTGTGGTGGGCACATGCAAGGAGACGTTCAACTTGTATTACCAGGAAACAGATTCCGAGGTGGGCAGGAGCTTACGAGAGAACCAGTATGTGAAAATTGACACGATCGCCGCGGATGAAAGCTTCACCCAGGGTGACTTGGGCGAGAGGAAGATGAAGCTGAATACAGAAGTACGCATAATTGGCCCCCTGTCCAGGCGTGGCTTCTACCTGGCCTTCCAGGATGTAGGGGCGTGCATCGCCCTGGTCTCTGTCAAAGTGTATTACAAGAAGTGCTGGTCTATCATCGAGAACCTGGCCACGTTCCCAGACACTGTGACGGGGTCGGAGTTCTCTTCGCTGGTGGAGGTCGAGGGCATGTGCGTGAGCGACGCCGAGGAGGAGGCCGACAACTCTCCCAAGATGCACTGCAGCGCCGAAGGGGAATGGCTGGTGCCCATTGGGAAATGTATATGCAAGGCTGGATTTCATCAGAAGGGGGACGCGTGTGAACGTGAGTGCCTGTTCCTTTTCTGCCATGATCAGAGTGAAATGTATTTTTAGGAGTAATTTAATTGACTCATTAGCATTCCCAGATATTTTTTCTCTCGTTGAATTAACTTTTAAAAATCAGCAAAGGTGTGCCAAAAAAAACTTGCAATAAACTGGGGAGTATTTGTGATTTGATTATGCAAAGCAGGTAAATGATAATTTAGGCATCGCTGGATGAATAGCTGTGTTGGCAAATGGGATTAAAGCGGCTGATTTGACAGCAGTAAAGATGGATAAAGTACTGAGGCCAAACATCCCCCAGTGTAATAATTGGAATCCGTGTTAATTGATTACGGGGCTCTTAATTTATGGCCATGATTCTGTTGACACTGGGATTAAATAATAACTTGAGTTTCGGCTCAAACACTCCTCTCTTTCCCACTGGCGGTGAGCCAAGGCAATCACTAGCAGAATACACAGGTCTAGAGGAAGTCCAGCCAGTCTTTCAGTATCTTTCCAGCCCGGCCAAATGACCCTGACAGAGAGGGAAAACAAATAGCCGTCGTACTGTGACATTTAGGCCTCTGGATATTTATGAAGGAGCCTAACAGGAAGGGCAAACGCAGCCTCGCCGTGGCTCATTTGTGCATTGTTGTGTTGCCGGATCGTGCCACTACAATTAACAAGAACATGCTCTCTGTCACTCTGAACGCTCAGAGGATTATTTTCAGTGGCCACCTGACTTGAAAGATAAAAATCACTGTGGATTAAAAGGGGGTCAGAGAACTTAAGTGGCCTGCCTTGTCAGCCAAGCCTTTTTTTTTTTTTTCGGCGAAGTGGGCAACCTCAATCTAAGCAGCTTATGAGGAGCAGCAGCCAGTAATAATTGAATGGAATGCATCTAAGAACAAATTAGTGTCCCTGGCAGACAAGCTTTTATGCCACGCTGTCATCCATTAGGGACCCCACTGAGGGAGGTGTGTTAATGAAATATATTAGGCCATGTAATTTAGAGCAACACAGCCCGCCTCAAGTTGTGCCACGTCTCTAATGTTAGCAGGCTATCGCTGATTCAACCCCACGGAGTTCCTTTTTATTGTTCTTCTTGTTTTTAATATGCATAGATGTAAGATCCAGTTGTGCCCTTTGGTGGAAAGAAAGCCCACTATTTATTTCCACAGGGAGAGCGATGCAGCATAACAACCAGCAGCTCTGGCCACCTTTACTTATTACGTCTTGGTGCAAAGCTCTCAGAACAGAAGAGTGTTGCATCTCTCTAACAATTAATCTGTTCATGTGTGGACTAAAGCTACCTAGGTCTAGGCAGCGGTAAAGTGAACCTACCTTCAGGTTGTTTTAGGCCCGAGGAAGAAGGCTCCTTAATGTGTATGTGGATCAAATTCCGGTCTTGACACTGCACCTTTATGAGCTTTATCTCCACCGAGGCATGAGAAGCCTTTGTATTAAGGGGTAGTTAATCTAAATAAAATGAGAATCACGGTGCACCATCAGCACTTCTTCCAGCAGCTCCACTGACATTAAATTGTCCATTCAGTAGTTTCCCTCAGCACAATCTAAAAGCTATTCAAAGTATTTCTATCAGCTGAACAGTGGAGCAATAAGTCCAAGTGGCTGTGACCGTTAAAAATGTGAAATCTTGACATTTCGACCTGAGACTAGCTTGTCTTAGTGGTGTTAAAGTACATCTTTATAATGGTGCCTCGTGGCAATGCTGCACCTTTCAGTGTAAAGGCTTCATATGCTTCAAACAAACTAAGTGTGTTCTCAAGACGTCTAAAGGCAAAAAGTGTTTGTACCTGCTTTTAATGGCCAAACTGGAAGATGGGCTAGACAGCATGTCTTCATAGAGAGGAGGGGAACCAAAAATGTAATGAATGGGAATAACAGTGTGTGGGGGGGGGGTTAGGTGGTGCTTTGTTTGGAGTAATCTGAGGCTGTATCCAGGATTTAGACAATTCTGACTCACATTTTCCTGTAACTGTTGAAACATATTTTCTGTAGATTCTATCTCCCTATATGCTCAAATGGAAAAGCATTTAAACAGTCGGACTCCCAAACTCTGATGTCAGAAAGGTGTGGGGGCAGAGGCTCTCAGATGCGGTTGAAAGATCTGACAGGCACTTCTCTTGAAGCATGCTGATGCATTAAGACAGTCCTTAACTGGCCTATTTTAGTATCTGCAGTATGCTATGATTATAACATGGCCGCCGAGTAAAATATTCAGCGGGGGGGGCGGGTGCAGGTGGAGTAAGCGAGTTTAGCTGTCAGTCATGTCATATGAGGAGCCCCCTCTGTGGACTCAAAGGCCTCCTCCGAAACGTGTTGTGATCCACTCATTCATCACCGTCAGCAAAGAGGGACCCCCTTGTCTTTCACCCCTGCACACCCCCCGTCTCTCTTTAACTCTTTGTGTGGCAATCTGTGGCAGTAAATGTCACTCTTCTTTTCCGCCCGCTGCGTTCAGTGGTCTCAGTGTAATGGGTGTTGAAAAAGGCCAGTTGAAGTGTCCCCGCAGCCTGCGCGGGCTTCATTTTGCGAAGAAGTACGTGTTGTGAAAATAGCGCCCATTCATCCGCTGGTCTTGTTTAGCGCTGGCTACTGGTTGCAATGGAGCCACAGAGTCGTTAGACAGAGAGAGGGCCCTTGTGGGAGGACATTGGCCCCTTTGTTTTGCTCAATCCCGGGAATGTATGTTGTCCGATTTTGACACATCACATCATTGTGGCACTAAATAACCAGTGCCTGAGAAATGATTAACTGTTGACCCTCGACCAGAAAAGGGAGAGGCCTCTGTCTGGTGGAAAACAGATAAAACAGGCCCTATCTCTCTGCTATCAGTGCATGCTAACAAGAGAATTAATGAGAGGATACAGCATCCTGTAAGCGCTGGCATCATCCATCTTGACTGTCAGGGAGTTGGACAGAAGTTAGTTGGAGACTGATTGATGATTGAGCCCCCCGAGGGAAGCGGCTGAGCAGTTGGGGTTTGACCACGACAGTTAACGTGTATGGAGGACACCAGGCGGCCTGGGCAGGCAGGCCTGGAGAGAAAGCTGCACTTAGCATTTCAAATGAAGCCAGGAAGCCAAGAGTCAGGAGGTCCTCATACATCTTGATGCTCCCCTGATTGATAAGGTGTGAATTTAATACACCAAATGGTTGTCTTTTACAACTGCTCCAGAGCTTAATTATGCAAATGACAGGTGTGCGCCGAATCCACAGGAGACCCAAATGGACCTAAATCACTCAAGATTGAAATAAATTGGTGATGGATGGGAGCTTGTCCTGTCACTGCCAGTGTCTGCTTCCTGTGAATGCTAGCATTCTTCCACAGCCCAGGGCTTTTCCCCCTGTTGTCTTGGCCTAGCAGGTAGCAGTGAGACACACAGATGTGGTATTCTTTGCTCAGGATGTTGCTACCAATACAACTGCCAGTGTCCGAAAATTGATCACCTAGGGAAGGACTTTGAGACATGAGATTTGGAGAAACTAAAATGTTTAGATTGATCATTTAAGTCATATATCAAGCCACATGCCAATCATTCCCTGGTACTAGCTTCTCAAATGCGAGTATTTGCTATCTTTTCTTCTTTATACCACTGTAAATGGAAAGTGATGAAGTTGGTCGGACAAAACAAGAATTTGAGACATTGAAGGCTTCAGCTTTGGTGATGTTATTTTTTTACTGTTTTCTGACATTTCACAGACTAAACAACTTATTTAGCATATTTTCTGTATAAACTATTTTCTTGATTTATCAATTAAATGTTCTGTTAAGGTCTATAAAATGAAAATTGGCCATCATATTACCTGAATTATTTGAATGTGTTGTTTTCTCCAACCCCAAAGATATTTGGTGCACTATCATAAAAAAAAAACTAAGAACAGATTAGATTTTGTAGCTTTTATTGGACTGCAGAGGCAGACAGGAAACGGGGGAGAGAGAGGTGTGATGTGCAAGAGAGGTCGACAAACCACTGGCGTTGTGGCAGCCATGCAGAATGTGCCATAACCATTAGCCTACCGAGGCACTCCGACCATTTTTGCTTGAAAATTACGTAAATGATGAATTGATTATCAAAATTGTTTGAAGATTTACTGTTAATTGATTATTATAAATACGGTAATATTTGAGATTAAGTTGGATTTTCAGGGTATTAGTGTACATGTACATATCTCTGATTTTGATGTTGAAGAGTTACTGTATTTCTTGATCAAGGGTTCAGTTTTTGCAGCAAAGAGAACAAAGGGCCAGTAAAAGGGTGTTACATTGTAGTTGAAGTTGCTTTACTGAGAACAGATGTAGACTTGTCTTCATGACCAGAAGATATTACTATATTCCTGTACAGTCCTTCTGCTCTATCTAATTCCTACTCATTAGTCGAGACTAAACCACAGCTACTTCCTCAGAGGACGACGTGAAGGCAGAATGTTTGAAATCGTGCTTTGGCAAGCTGTAATAAAGAGTATTTATTTTTCTTCCTCATCCATTGCCCCCCTTTTTAAATATACACTTTCAAATGAGAAGTAAAAGCGAGGAGAAGTTGTTTCCCGGGATACTCTTGCTTGAGCTGGTGCCAGCAGCGCTTTCTGTGGGATCCGGCTGCCCTGTCAACACATCAAATTAAATACAAATGCCTCATTTTACTTATGAAAAAAATGTCACCAGGAGGCTCATTCACAAAGTCGTTTGGCTTGGTAAATATTTGCCTCAAAGTTACATTCATATAAACTGCACCGATTCATATGCTGGAACAAAGGCAGGAAACCAGAAGGGCTGTCACAACTTATTATTAGCTCCAACTGGTTTCCAGATTCATAGATATCACACTGAGGTAAAGATGGATCTAAAATACACAATCTCAGCACAGAGAACTGATCTTTAAGAAGGACGCATTGTCAGTGTCTGGTCACTGGTAATAGGTTTGTCTCTCACCTCTGCTGATAAGCTACAGCTACTGACTCATGCATACATGAATATGAAGTAGCCGATGGAAAAGC